GAAAGCCAAATGTCCGGCTCTGGTCATCAAAGCTTAATGACCCAAGAAAAAGCGCTAAACGAGACTGCGTATATCCGTAATCAAGTATGGTTGAGATACTGAGATGTAAGCCTGTAAATGTATACGTCAATTTGCGAAACCACTTGTCTTAACCTCTTAGAGCATGGCCATTAGTTTAACCACCCAAGGAGAGGCAGAACTGAGGCTGCGTAGTTTGGTACGTCTGGTTTGGTTGATGAGATTAATCTAACATATTGGACGAGTATGAGTGAAGTTAGAACCATCACTGAGCTGACCAGTTGAATCGCATTCCTTTAGATCGCGATTTAACACCGCGTATCTCTAAAATCTATCAATCAAGCATACATTATTCCCACTCAACTTTCTACCAGGGTTCCTCACATTCAACGTATGCCCTGATCTATTTATTTCAATAGCCTCTCTTACCTTTCTTTCATCCGCAGACGTATCATAATCAGCAAACCTATTAGTTGAGAACATTCCAGTCTCTGCTCTGCATGTTCGGCCACTTCTGACCAGTGTACACAGCCCTCTTTACAAGTATTTTTGTATGTGAGTAGAGTTTCGAAACTCATAAGTATTTATGTGTTCTCCTCATCTTTGTCGAATGGGCCTGCATGACTTACTAGCGTAAGGCCGTTCACAGGAGAACACAATCTTGTAGCAGAGGGGCCTTGATAATGGATCCTATTTCTCTCTAAAAGATGACATAATTGAAGAAAGTGTGAAGGTTTCTTTAAGCACTATTATTATCGTACATGTTCACACTAGTTCTCCTATCTTTTTTGAAACAAAGCATGACGGAAAAACTAGGAAATGAGAAAAGGTCTCCGCTTATCTTTGACTAAATATTCGGCCTGAAAATATACTCCTTATCAATGATATATTTTTAACAATTAGGCCAAATGGATAATTATTTTCCAGGAATACATTTTGCAACAGCTTCAACTCTTCGGTCAAATAGTTGTAATACGTAATTCTCATAATAATAATTATTATTGAGTTCAAAATTTTAAGCTTAGTTTGGTAATTCTGTTTGGAAAGAAAATTCAGAAAAGAGTCAATATACTTTGGCTTCCTATAGACATCTCTTCCTAACTTATTCTCTTCTCTGATGATCAGAACATCCAAAAAGATTAAGGACATATCACCTTCTATAACCTAATGCTTATTTCACATTGGTTAAGTTAAAGTAGGAAACTATCTGAGCTTTCATTATCATGAAACCAGACCACAAAATAGTCATCCATGTATCTAGCCGACAATTTGGGGATTAGTATTGCCTGTTCCAAATAGTGTTCCCCAACTCTGACTACATAATTGTTTGCCAAGATGGTAGCTGAGTAAGATTTCATCGCAAGTCAAAGTGTCTTTTCATAAAAATTGCCATCAAAGGTAAATTGGCTGAAGTGTCGTGGATAAGTTAAAACTCACTAATTATTAGCTCTCTGTGACTTTGACAAGACCGAAATGGGCTCAAAAACCTTTTCAACCAGTAAATATTTATCCCTTTACTTCTACAAATCTGCTGCAGTTGGAAACTTTTCAATTTAATTAGGATATTCTTTAAGCACTTTAATATCCTCTTATATAGACTCAGTGACATTTCATGTGACAGATTCATTCTTTGTTAATTAACAACTTCTGACATTTTGGTCGAAATTACCGCATCAGACAAGTTTGATTGGCTTGGCAGCATTACTCACTGACTTGTTCGTGGTGCAAAAGTCAGCCCAAAACGGTGTTTCGATCGAAGGACTTTTTACAAATGGCTTTTTTTTTAATTTCTTGAAACTGTAAAATCGATTGGAACGGTCTTCACTATTGCAAGTCTACGTTATATCATGCTGTAGCGTGATGGTCTCCGCTCATGTTCGCTTTATTTTCAGCCTCTGCCACCAGCTTTGCTGCTGCCTTTTTTGTGCCTCAGATTGAGCCTTGATGCCAGTACAAGTTTGGTCGCCTTTCGCTCACTCTCAAGCAGCCCCAATTTGGGCCAGCCAAGTAGAGAAATGGATAAAAATGCTAATGAAATCAACACAAAATGGCACATTTTGAATGCTAGAAATGGGAGTAAGTAATTAGGCGAAAACTATTCGTACTCGTATTTTGTATGTTTTCAAAATTCTTATCCAAGAACTATTTATGCAAGATTGATAGGCTCAAGAATAGAGGTTTGGAATTGCATTATATGAGAGACGAAATCTTAAGAGTTTTGGTCAACCTAGCTGGCATAAGGTAAAAAAATACAGAAAGTTTAATCAGGCCTGACGAAGCCATTTAACCTAACTTAGCCTTGCCTCCAAAAAATGGTTCTTATCCATGTTTGAATGTAATTGTAACCTCGTTTCCAAACAGCGTATTACTACTACGCTAACTGCCATTAGTGCTAATAAGTAATATGGGGGAAGTTGATTTCAAGGTTTGTCAGTCCCTTGCCAACACATTTCGTAGTGTGTGTCGATTAGTCAAGCGAAACCTACTCATTCTGGATATAAGTGGTGCAGTCGATTTTAATAGCAAATGCGAGTTTGCTTTATCGATCATTCAACAAAAAATGTAAAGAGGTTGTTTGACCTTGTTTTCGCAACATGGTCATATTGGTGGGAAGACTTATTGGAACGCACCTAGTCCGGGGTCCATTGTATGCCAACCCACAAGTGTTGTGGTTTAACATTGAACCAAATCAAAACAAGTTGTACCACAACATTTGGGGGTTGACACACACGAGAGTAGGGCATGGCAAATCATGGACTTGGTATTAGGGATAGAAATATGATAGAAACGGCGGGGACCGGAGCTGGTTGGTTGACGGTAGATCGGTTGGACCAGAGTCGTGGTACATATAGCAAACGGGTGAACATGACACTCAGAGGCTTACGCCTCGAATTAGTCACCCAGACGCAGGTGGGGGCGAATAACGCCTCGAGA